TCGAGGACCTGAGCCCCCCCCCAAGCCACTTGGAGCTGGCACCTGCCAAAAAAATTCGCGCTCTAACCAGTGAGCCACCTCACCCCTGCCAATCCCTTAGCCACTGTTCCGCGTCTCAAACGTCGCCCAGAAAAATAAACCAAAATACTCACCTTCTAACCTCAAAAGATCTGATCCACGTTGCAGCCTTTAATGTCTGTTCTGTTTGTCAAATTGGGTAGCAAGCATTCCTTGCTGAAATCTTACTTTCCCTCTCTGTCGACTTATGTTGTGTCTCCGAAACACGCACACAAGACCCGACTTCGGTCGTGCTCCTCCAACCGCCTCAAACGAGCTCAGGTGTTTCACTCTTCAGATTTCTGGTGATACTGACGCAATGACTCGTGGTATCTACAGCGTGGGAGTTGCACTCAGCCCGAAGGCTGAGGGCGCCTTATTGGGCTGGATCCCAGTAAACAGTCGCGTTTGCGCCGTGCGGTTGTCTGGTATTTACGTGGGTGAATGCGGTAAACGGTGTTTGTCGTAGCATACACTCCAACTCCTGCCTAAGCTTGGGAAACATGTAGTAGCCTGGCCTTCATGCTTCCTTTTGGTGACATGGCATCTAGGCATCGAAAGGATGTTACAGCTGAATGATTATTACTCTTCTATCTTTATACACCAGCAAACTGCAGTTCTGAGGATGAGAAGGACGAGTCTCACCGAGATCTGTCACGACCGCTTCGGTCGACACGAAGGACGGATATAGTGATCCTAATGGGTACTATGAATGCCCAATTTGGACGACCAAGTCCAGAAGAAGCACAGTTAGGTGGTCAATTTGGAGTCGGTGCCGACCGTACGGATAATGGGGAGCGATTTCTTCAGTTGTGTGCAAATCTTCCTCTGTTCCTGGTCAGCATCAACTTCCAAAACAAACGCACACTCCGAGTTACTTGGAGGCCAACTACCACAAGACAGTCGTGGACTCAGTTGAACCATGTAGCTATCGGTTACCGATGGAGAGTATCAGTTAAGGATTGTCGTCCTTCTGGGGTGCGGAACTTGACTTTGATCACATCATCATGTGGGTTCGGTTAGCGCTTCGCTTTCCGCCATCGTTACGCGTTCCAAAGGAGAGCAACTCCGTTCGTCATTTTCGACAGGCTTCAGTAAATGAGAGTATCGAATTGGTCTTGACTGGAAAGCTACTGGAAGCGCACAGACATGCATATGAAGAAGATTGTCTGAATGCTATATGGACACGGGTTAAAGAAACAATGCTCTCAGTTTTCAGAACTGTTTGTCCAGGCCCCCAGGCTTGACTAAATGAACATTGGATATCGTTGAGATCAACGGATCTTATTGCTGCCAGAAAGGCGATACCAGCAACTAAGGACTATCATAACGCACGCAGATCCCTCAAACACGGGCTAATCAGGAATTTGAAGAATGACAGAACGGTGGTGGATTTCGAAGGCCTAGGAGATGGAGAAAGCTTTCGCTGTAGGCAACAGCGGCAACTTGTTTCAACTGATTCGATTAACCGGTCAAAAGAAGGCGGGTGTTAGTGAAACAAAATGCTCCCTTAACCGTCGTCTTGGGCGGTAGGCCGAGCATTTCAAAGAACAGTTCAACTGGTAGCAATCTAACAGATGCGTAAACGGCTACGCGCCTGATTACGTTAGGTGAGCACAATAAACATCTCATACATTGTTCTACCTACTGCTATGAAATGACAGTTACTAAGGTATCTACCCGGTTATACACCCTGCTTTCACCTGCTACTTTGTTTATAATACCACAGAGGTCATATAAAGCAGGCATGCTGAGGACCCCCACACCCTACCATACTGAGGTATAGTAAAAAGGGTCAGTCACTGACGATGGTTATTTTGAGGAGCCTTACACGCCGACGCTAATTAACTTCATTGCTTTAAGTGACAAACCCGCCTATCGACTGTCACTAACTTCGTTACCGATATCTACATGCGACAGTGCACAGAGTGAGACGTAACCAGCCTCCCACCGGACTCGACTGTCCCCTTGGTTCAGTTCTACAGGCATCCATATCAGTGACAGCTATCCGCTGGTTATACTGGTTCCTAACCACCCATAAAGCCAACGTTCACGTCCACCCAACCTGTTTTTATTGATTATTCCTCTCTGATTTATATATTTTGTCGTTCTTTGCACGCTGTTTTAGGTTGCTTCTCAGCCCTGCCGTGTGAGTTCGGTAATGCATTTTGCCGATTTGGTCTTGAGGGAGATCGCTGCTGAAGGACTTGAAGGTGTGACCCTAGAAAGATTATGGGGTTACCTAAGCTCGCAAGACTCCGGATTCCCTTTCAAGCTCGACACGAACAGCAAACAGTTCATATGGGAAGCGCTATTGGCAATGAAATGTTTGTCATTCTACGTCAATCCAACGAAAGACGATCTACCAGGAACGTTCGACCGAAGGACTTGGTTGGTTGATGATGATCGCGGTTTGTTCTACGAAACTCCTGTAAGTTACTTGTCTACGTATCTCTCTACCTTCTTAGGCGAATTTTCGGCCTCGGAAGTTTTTCCCAGCTGAAAACCTTGCAGAGATAGGATCTTGTCCTTTTTACACAAAACGAGTGGATGTTTCGGACGAAGTTCGCACGACTCCCGTTTTCCGTAAACTTAGTAACGTGGAGGAGAAGTGAGCTTGTTTTTTAGTCTCTGACATGAAATTCAGGTGGGGGGATCTGCTGGTCGTCGTCGCATCCCAACACGAGCGCACAAAGTGTCTCTTTGGAAATCGTTGCCACCCTAGTGACGTTTCGATCGGCACCTACGTGGTACTTGAGGCCATTGCTAGGTACGTACTTTTTCGTGTAATCACAACTGTGCAGTATTGCAGGTCATGGCACTTAATTCCGTGGCAGAAATAGGTTGTTCTTTCCAGTAATGTAGTAGTTATCCTATTCGATGTAAGCTGCTCAGTACATTTGGAGTTCCCCTTAATTATTTATCATCTTATCTAGTTGAATTATTTACCCCCGCAGGAAAAAGGCGGCTGGTTTTTATTTACGTCTCCCCCTTGATTGCTGTTGGTTTTTTATCGATTGCTTTGAAATAGGGCGCTATGCTCCTCAACCCATTGCTACATTCACCGAGCCGATATTGTATGCCTCAGCGACCGGAGAATAGGTAATTTACAGTCATCCTCCAAGCGAACGAGCACAGCGAGATACGAGAATCTGACATCTAAGGGTAGTGTTTGCTCTTCAGAGAGACTACTGCACTGCAAACTCTTGCATTGTCGCACCATGCTTCCAGATCTATACGCTGTTTAGTTAAAGAGAAAAGGTATTTAGTTGTTTTTGTCTGCTCCTTTATCAACCTATCTAGTCCCTAATTTCCCATTCAATTCTATCACTCCCTTGGAGGCGTTCTGCGTGATCGCCTTTGTGCTATGATCACCATTCTCCCACTTAAACCAGTATTTCCTGTGTGAACACAATATTGACAGTTGTTCACGTTTGTGTTCATAATTGTAGATGACAGTCATCCACTTTTCTTGAAGCAGTGCTGCTCTTGGAGATTGTTTTCGGTCCATTTATCATGGATTAGTTCCTAATTTATACAGAAATTTGAGCTAGAGATTCTGATTTCAGGCGGTATTTTGGGTTTATGGTACCCGACAACTGGTTAATCACACTTTTTACCTTTTGGTTGAGCTTTTTCACCAACGTAGTGAGGTGCACACTCCGTTGGATCGTCAATTCAGGCACCGAAATCACTTCTGAGAATAGATTTATAGAGCTGGGTTATGCAGATGTCGTTTTATTGTTTTACGATTGGTCGTCGGCGCAAAGTACATTAAACAGGATATCCGGGATGGTCTTATTTTTCGGCATTTATTTTGAGCATTCATAGTGCAGGGTCTTATTTATGGGCTCCAAGTCCTCTTGTAATCTATGAAACAGCTGGAAAAATTTGAGTTTGCCCATCCGTTTACATATCTTAACAGCTGTAGTGGCCGTGATTGTACCATAACAGGTGAAGTCAATGCATGGATAACCAAGGCGCTGGCAGAGCTAGCCAATTTAAATGATTCATGGCGTCAGGATTATATTTTACTGAAGTTAGAGAACTATGTATACTGGACGATTGTATGATAAGTATTTATGGTTTTGGGTCTTTGCCCCTCCGATCCGAGGACCTTAACCATCTTCAGACTGTTGATCTCAACAAGATTTAGTTAGCCGCAGCGAGTACGCAACGAGATGGTGGTAAACCGGTACATGGTAACGAGTAGCGACTCGGAGTGGTTGGGATGATGTGCTACTCACGTTTACCCCCCATATGTCCAATAAAACCTTACTCTCCCTCCTGTTTGGTTGTTGGCGAAAGGTTTGCGGCGGACAGGCCATAAAATGGTAACTTGGGATTAAAGTAGCTACAGTCGAGCGGAGGGAGTGCTGTGGGATCCCCACACTTCTTGGCTGGGGTCCTATCTGCAGGTGGTTCGAAACATTTCAGGACGTACTGCGCAGCGTCGTTACTTAACTGAACCATCCAGATAGAGCTAACTTATCGTTGTGCGTTCGGCTGATGTCGAATGTAGCTTGCAAATGACAGTCCCACTTAATTCTATATGATGCCCAGTTGTGTTAATTTTAATCCTGTCCGAATGTGTGTGCACCTTATCCGCAATCGTTTCCTTAGGGTAATTGAACTTCATCGCACTAGGTCCTTACCCTTCGTTTTTCTTCACACTCTTTATGAAGGCTTTCCTCCCTGATAGTTGAATGCCATGTGTTGTATGTATTAAATTTATCTTGACTTACTGTTGTCTTTGATGGTGATGCCGAGTGTGATAAGCATGCCATCAATGATGATGAAGTTCTGGTTTTCATTTTCAACCCCCGAGTTTCACTTTCGCGCTTTTTGGGATCTTCGTTTTTTGGAGACAGTACTATGGTCGCTGTGCGAGTCCCTAAGCAAGAGATCCACGTTTCGAACACGAGCGTTTCGACTGCTGGTGTCTATGCTTGGCAACCTGGCAGTATTTCAATCGTCGTCGTTCCTTTGGTTTTCACGGTGACATAAACCACTAGATTTTAACCTACGAGTTCACTGGGTTGTAGTCTGCTGAAACTGGGGGTCCAGTGAGAATTAGGGATCTGACCTAAGCAAGCTGCTTTGAAATATAGACTGCCAGCATTAGTCTGCTCGAATGAGACATGGACTAGCACGAATACACTCTTCTAGCCTGATTTTGATCCACGTTGACCCCCTTTCAGACATACAACCCACAGTTATACCGGATCACAGACTCCCAAATCGTCTATTGATTTTGACGCCTATTTTCTGTCTAGGCTTGGGTAATGCGAGAGTATCACAGCCCTTGTGCTTCCCTCGCGTGGCACGGCAGCTAGACACCGAGACGGCGTTACACCTGAAAGGTTTCTGTTTTCTCTACCACCTTTTCATTAAAGGAACCGTTTCAACGGTTTACCAACTACGGTGGCAGATGGTCTTGGCTGTTGTGGCCTGAACGGTAGTAGCATTTGGTATGCTCGTCAAAAACTGGAGGCCTTAGGACTCATCACGTCGCAAGTGAGTTGTACTTTTCTTTGTTTTTGAACTATCCACGTTTCTCTTAACTAGCCTTACATAAGCAAGTTCCAGTCTCAACCAATGGCTACAGGACTGCTGCTTCACCACTGGCGATACTATCGCCACTTTCCCTTTCCCAATGCCACACTGATCAAAAAAGTGCTCCAGCTGTTGCAAGGGAGTCCGAAGAAGGCGCACACATCGCCGTACCTTCGCAATGTAAGTTGCTCTTGGGAGTGGGACTGAATTGAATCCTACGTTGTTATTACTCGAGCATTCACCTCTTCGTTTTCCTCGCTAATAGTTTACTCACTCATATTACTTTGGATGGCCCGCCATAGTCGGCTTTCTAAAACTGTGATGAGGTGTTTCCCTGCAATTACAGTGGTCGACCAGGAAACAATTAAGGCTAGGATTTTCTCAATCCCTCATCCTCACTCAATGTTCCTCCATCAGTGGAGCATCTGATGTCATACCGTCAATGATGATGATGATGACTCAATGTTTTTATGTACTCCCCAGGAAGTTGGCCTTACTTACAAATCATTCAGAAGATTACTACATTTTGCCTCACGCCAAGGATTCGTTACGACCAGCGACTCAACGATGAAGGAGGCTTGCGCGTTTTTCAAAAACAAAGACCCTGAGTCAATAGCCACGGAAGATTTACAAATGTTTGCTCAAGAAAATGCCATACCTCGCTGTGGTCCACAGGCACCTCTGGTGATTGTCCATCTGAAAAACAGCGCAAATATTGAGGCGTGGTTTTCAAGTTTTGGGGCTGTGAAAGGTATACCACCCGGTGCACGGTCTGAAGGTGAAAGTGAGGAAGAAGAAGAAGCCGTTGAAGAAGTGGTTGATACTGAATCTGGCGACGTAGCTTCTTCAGTCGCGCCCACCGGACTTGGTCCTTCATCTGAGGGGAATTCCTCTTTTCACAACTTGACGCCATCTGGTGTCGCGGAACTACAATCGGATTCGAAATCGTCTTCTTTGGTTCCAACTCTGCGAGCTTGTGAGAAAACTTTAGCGAGTGAGTTTCGTCAAGTGTTTCAAACAGCGTTCTGTTTACATGAACTGCGTTTATCGTGGGGTGAATGTTTCATTCAGCCGCCATGCTTTCTTGTCAATAAGTATGGGGTTTCGTGAAGGAAATGCTGAAAACTCATCAACAGTCCACGACCGGCTTCACCCTTCTTGGGGCTCATTAGGTAGGCGCAGTTGCCGAGTCCTACTTGAACCCAAACTGAACTGTTCTCGAGAAGTACACTCATTTTCATCTTAATTTGGTTTTCACGAGAGACTCAACTGAATGTGCTACACACAGGCTGCCCCTTGTTTCATTTGGTATAATATTCGAGATATCGGCACCTGGACCACCTGGTAGTAGAATTTGAATCAAATTGTGAATTTGATCGGGTGTCTATCGGATCTCATTATATGGGTGTGGATGGGTAGCTGACTTGATCCGGTGATTTTCAGTTGCATACTATTGACCTATTGACTGTACCGATTTTGCTTGCACAACCTTTGGACCTAACTTTGAAGGGCTAATAAAAATTATCAAGTTCTGCTGCCGTTCAGAACACAGTAATCAAGCCCATCGAACGGCGTGGTTTGTAACTCGTTGGAATGGTTTCTTTAATGGAGAGTTCGTAGAGAAAGCAGAAACCGGGCTGTATCATCCGATGACTAGCTGCCATGCCACTCTGAGGGACCATGGAGGTTTATATAATTCCAGGTTGGCCAAGCCGAGGCAGCAGTGGAAGAAGACGCTGGAGTTGAGTTCGAACCACGGACACTCCGGTCAGTAAGTTTGCTCCCTAATGACGAGTGTATACCGAACCATTATCAGCTTCTTTGCTAGAGCCAGGACTACCAGTTTCAGGGTCCACGAGCAAGCAACCTACCTGAACAAAGTAAAAAGGGCTAGTTAGAATCTAAATTATGTTTTATCTGCGTTCCTCTTGTTCCACGTATTTCTTGCAGTCTTTTTGGAAGGTATTCAGCTTATGACTCGTTGAACGCCGCCGTACTTGTACTTGTTTGTTTGAAGCAAAACCCTAATATTACGCCGGACTGTGCAGACGATGATCGCAGCTCGTATGTATTTTTAATAGTTGGAATCTGTTGCCCGTGAAACTATCAAGCTTCTTACCCATAGTCATTCTAAGACCATCATTCTTATTACAACCTCCGACAATGTCTGGTTGCTTTAAAATTCAAAACGAAGGACTTTTTGGGTTTAGCGAAGATACTTTACTGTCTCCTCGTCATAATCACGGTGGTCTTGGCTGATCTCTGCGTTGGAGGCCAGTTCAACATTAGGTAGAACATTTTGTCGCATTCTTACTCTTATCCAACTGAGACAGCATTGACCTAACCCCATACATATCTTCGCCCTCTAACTCTCTCATTCCCAGTGGCCCCCAGCGTAAATGGTGAAGAGTCCTTGATGGTTCAATTCGCTCGGCTGATGCTACCACAGGAGATAACAATGGCTTCCTTGCTTAAGTTAACGCGGTTGAATTATTTCTTCAGTCGTCGTTTACTTCGTGCGTTCGACAATCTTTGTGCTGTCCGTACGACAAAACGTTCATTGCGTGCCACGTTCATTCTTTGGTGAGTGCATTGGATTTTTTAATCATCATCATCATCATTGTCAGCTGTAATAACCGCGTTCTTGTACAGGGGTTGTAGCTGCCACATTTTCGTTCACTGATGATTCGGAGAGGTGGGGTAGGTAGCTGCGCATTGTAGGTGGAAGCTGATAAGTTGGTGCGTGGATATCATCATCATCAACGACAGCATGACATCAGTGCTCAACACCAATGCTTCACTGCCGTACAGCCATGACTTATTTGAAAGCCTTATTGTA